CGATCTCCCCTCGCCGCATTTACCTTTCACCCAGTTTCTGCAGTTTTAGCAAATTTCAGGCTTCTCTGGCCACTGTCCGGTCTTTGGCGCCAAGGTGTTCCCTTTTATCAGCTTGTTAGCTCTTCTTCAAGGCTAGAGCTGTTAGTTTTCCACAGTTCGTTACTTATACAAACACTTTCCTATCTTTTAGCTCCCTCCCAAATTCCTTTCCCAAGGCACAAGTGGTTAGTAGTTTTGCTAATTGGAAAATTACTGTTTCTGCTTAGCTTTAGAAACTATTTACAACAGCATGTCGGTTTGCGTGGTACATTCTGCATATGCATGCACCATGTGTGCGCTATGTGTGGGTGCATGCAGTGTCTGTGAGCACTCTACATCTATGTACATGATACCCCAGCTAGGGTATCACACGTGGGAGGCCGCAGGGAGCCCAGGGGAGTGTAACCCCTTCCCTGCCGACCCGGGCAGGCCTTGAGCCACAGAGCATGCAGGGGAGACGGCAGGACGGTGCCTCACAAACGAGCTCAGGGTGCTGGACACCCTTGAGGAGGCCGTGCCCTGTGTGCGTGGGGCTGGGGCTGTCCTGGGAGCCCCTGGAGCCCTCCCTGCCCCTGGGGACAGAGTCCTGGAGCAGGGCGCCAGGGCAGCGCTGTGCCGGCCGGGGGCTCCTGGGGTCCCTGGGAGAAATCCCAGGGAAGGGGCTTTTACCAGACCTTCCCTCCCCCAAGCTGCCTCTCCTCCAGGATTAAGGCGTTAGACATCATATAGCTGTACTTGGACCTGACCCAGCCTATTGCAATGGCAGGAGGCTTATTAATGAGGAATTAAGCCACTGGCACGTCCCAGCTATGTGGGACTGAGCCGATGCCCGCTGGGAGCTGTTCCCTGATGCAGGGACACTGCTGCTGGTGGGGACCCGGCCATCCCCACAGTGCATGGTCACCAAGTGCCAGCACTGTACGTGCCGCCTGGCATTCCCATCGTGGGCATGTGGCGCTGGAGACTCACCGCCTGCAGCCATCCTGGTGGGGCTGAGCCTGCCTGCACCATTGAGCAAGG